TCAGTATAAAATGTATATTCTAAGTTACAAGAAGATAAATAGCACTTGTCTGAGTCAGAATCATCTTGCAGTGAATGTTCCCACCTTACATTCAGGCCTCAGGGCCAGAGCAGCGTACCACGCATCATGACAGGCTTTCCACAGCCGGCCACGGGTCTCCTCATCTTCTGCCCAGGCAAAGTCTGAGCCTCCGTTGTCCCGCGTGATCTCCTCTGAACACACAGAACATGATTCTGTCCTGATGACACATCCTTTTACGTACATTATCTGGATATACAGCCCATTTGAGGAATGAAATATCTATATGAAGCATTTCACAAAGCAGTTCGTATTGGTTTTGTAGAGCATACAACATTTATAGTACATGCTAGATTTGTAGTGCATTTAAAATACTGTGGCTGTGTCCATTATGCTGTACTTTAATAGTATGTGTACTTCATTAAGTACGGTCAATAGGTAGATGTGTCATATACTAAGAACAACTGCAGAAATGTATAGGGAACAAGTCTCTAAAAAAAGAACTTAAACAATTAGTATGCAAACACTGGCCTCAAGAGTACTGTTAAAATACTGTTAATTAAAAATGACTGTTTAAATACTGTAGAAATTAGTTGTATGTTTTATCCACATACACCTGTGATGGACACCTGCTCCTGCATGCTTTTGGAGCTCCCGTGGAACTCCAAAAAGAGGGTGGGAGTGACCTCATAGGACAGGTTGTTGAAGCGACTGCATGCGTTTATCATTACGTCATCCAAGAACTCTGCAAACAGAACGTATCAGCACAGATCAAGTCTTGTGAAGCCTTTGTGGGTAGAAAGTCGAGGCTTAGAAATCGATGCCTCAGTGCAGCCTCGATTTAAAAATCTAAGAGAGCAGTCATGCATGATTACTCATAAATTGGATGGAGCTACTGGTGGAATATTTTTCCCTGAGTGGACTGCAAAAGAAGAAACACGTTGTGGTCCTGAGACCCAAGCAATTCATTAAACCCTTGACTGTGCTCGGTGTTGACTATGAATAAAGCATGGCGTTTCCTTCTGAATTAATGTTTATGTTATTGCAAGAGGCTGAAATCGCACAGCCTGGCATGCATGTAGTTTTGAGCGCCACAGTCTGTGATTTTACAAGTTCACAACACAGGAGACCAAGTGTTCTTTTGTTACGTTAATGCCAATAGAGGCAGCAAACGAAGCACGTTGTGATCATGTGCTTCAAACATCGCTCACCAATGAGGGCGATGGCCACTCCAGCTTGCAGGATCTGAACGGTGCTGTCCACCGCTGATTGGACGGATGGAAAGGAGCAGACAGCTGACACCATACTTTCAGGAATACCGTACAACCGAAGCGTGGCTTTGGTAATAATACCCAAAGTTCCCTCTGAGCCCACAAAAAGGTTTGTCAGGTTGTAACTGGCAGATGTCTTTCTGAAAGGGTGTTGCATCAAAAGGGGAAAAATTAAATGCAGACAACAAAAGATTTAGTTTAAAAGATGCTTTGATTGTAATTTTGCAGTCATACCTTGGACGACGCCCCTTCCCTGCTGTGTGGAGGACCGTTCCATCTGCTAGAACCACC